CTCCCAGCCCTGTTTTCTCTTTACCTGAACCCCCAAATCAACCCATTACCTCCCCCCCGACCAAAAAAAACCCCTCCTCGTGTGTGCTATGGTGATCCAGCACAAGCCACTTCTCCACTCAAAGCTCCATTTCTTGCATGTTACACCCCTGCCACCCTTTTCTGGTGCACAGCCCTTTGATAAGAAACTGGGGTTTTAACCAGAACATCAGCATGGAAGAGACCTGGGTCATCTGAGTCCAGTCCTCTGCTATTACAGCAACTATTTTATATAACCTTGATCATCAAGCTCCACCCTAACCGCTCAACATAGGTAGGTGACAAATCACCTTTTACACCACTGCAAGTAGCAGCCCTGCCTCCACTGTGAAGGGACCTTCCTCTTATCCCCAAGTTAAGAGGGTTATGTTAACCTTATGTATCAAACAGACATGTCACACACCAGCAAAGAACGGAGCCTGAAAGGGAGAGCGAACTGGGTCTGACCAAGGGTTTTCTCCCACTGTTCCTCTCTCAATTGCAGCCTCCAGCATTTAAGGTCTAGACAGCTCTAATTCAGAGGCTGTATCCCTAACTCCTGTGCTCAGTAGCTACTCCCGTGCTCAGTAGCTACTCCAAGAATATGTCCAATTTCTTTTTCAATCTAGCTAAGCTGTCAGCTTCCACAACATCTGGTGGCTGTGAGTTCACACTTGAATTACATGGTCTGAAAGCCCACACCTAGCCAGAAAGCTTTTGACTCTGGATTCCTATTTGAAATCTCTGGCTGCATCCAGATAAGTGCGGATGTTTGTTTCCTTGTGCCGCTGCTACTTCTCTCTGGGGAACACCCATGCCACACGCGCTCTGGTGTTCGGCAGATTACCCCAGGTTGGGTAAGGGAGGCTGGGGCTAGCAACCGTGCTGGCCCCAGCATCCTTACGTAGGGTCTTTGGGGCCTCCTGGGGCAGAAGGAGCGTGGCTCTGGCTGGCTAGGCTCCAGTTTTGGGCAGCACACACTGCCACCATATGCACCACCCTGCTTTTTTTGGCATGGGTTTCTTCATCTCCTGGGGTCAACTCCCCACACCTTGCACTGCAAGGTAGCAACATGGGGAATGCCTGCATGTGCAGGGTGTGCTGCTGCAGACAGGTCTGTGGTGCCACATACTGCACGTCTGCGCTTGTCTGAATGCGGCCTCTGGGTTCATCTTGTGAATCACGCTGGTGCTCCTAGCAGGGACTACATAGTACAGCACCTTTGAAAGGATCTCAAGGCACCCCAGGGTGCTGCAGCACACTGGTTGAGAATCACTGTTCTAAACCCTTAGCCCCCACCCATGGACCAGCACTGCAAACATCAGACTGCATTCAAGAAAGACTCCAGCCCGAGCAATATGTAAGGGGCTCCTAAGCTGAATAAGCTTCTAAACTGAATAAGTTTAGGGGTCCTATGATACCCAAAACTTGTCTAAATCTCTCCCAACCATACCACAAAACTCTTGCCTCAAATCTGAGTAAAGAATTGAGGGTATAGCAATGATCCAGTTATTCTTGGATCACCCCGATTCTGCACCTCTTAGTCTTGAAGGAGCCAGGATATATGCCCTGCCCTGGTCTGAACCTCTTTTTCCGCTCAAAGTACAACCTCATGCCGAGTCCTGCACCCTCCTGTCCATGCTGCAGACACTCCTTGAATAAGAAATTGGCTCTGAATGGCTGCAAGGGACAAAATATTCTTGGCTCATTCTGAGTCAGACATCTCCCTGTTTGCTTCCGAAGCAAATGTGGAGAAGTGGGTGGAGGGTGTACTACTATGTAGGGAGTTGCACAGAAAAGAAACTTGGTGACAAGAGGGGGGTCCCTTCACAGTGGAGGCAGAGCTGCTACTTGCAGTAGTGTAAAAAGTGATCTGTCATCTATGTATGTTGACTTGTTAGGGAGGAGTTGATGATAGAGATTATACGAAATAGTTGCTGTAATAGCAGAGGACAGGACCCAAATGACCCAGGTCTCTTTCATTCTTATGTTCCCATGAAACCCCAGTTTCTTATCAAAGGACTGTGCACAAGACCTTGTGCTAGTGGGAGGGGTGTAACATAAAAGAAATAGAGCTTTGAGTGAAGTGGCATGTGCTGGGTTCATCATAACAGCTTACAGTTTCATAAATGTGACCCCAACTAGTCATTTGTATGACAATTGATTCATTTACAGATAGTCAGTCGGACAGTTGCTTATTCAAACTGGAAGGAGGTGGGAGATAATGAGACAGGGCTTTAGGGAGAAAAAGCTTTAGAATGAGGAGCATCACGTCCTCATTTCTCCAAACAGCTTAGCTTTTAGCTGGACATTCCACTTAGGTCAAGATGGCTTTTTTCATTTATGTGGGTTGAAATCCCAATTTCTTACTGAAAGATTGCTTGCAAATTGGAGAGCAGGAAGGAGGGTGTGACACAGACCAGGACTTTGCACCAAGTCAAAGCTTTGGGGCAAGTAGCAACACATCCTAGAATCTTCATAATGAACAAATGGTTCTGTGGGATGTCTTCTTTGAGGTTACTCAAGAAACATTTGACCAGTCAGCCTCGTAGCTAGCCAAAGGCACCTGCTTATTCAAGGAAAGCTTGCAAATGAGATGGTGTGATGGGTGGTGGATGTGTGGTACTATTCATCGCAGAAACATTTCTTGCATGAGGATATGATATTTCCCAGCTACTTCAGAACCATCTAGTAGTCAGCCACATGCAATTTGGAATGATCCAAGAAGTCCCATTTATAGTTCCTCAAATCTCAGTATGTAGTTAAGCGACAGGTATTTTCACCACATTTTTAAACAAGTGGAAACAGTTTGACCTCTAGCTTTAACGTATATTGTTATAAAATTCAATCTCTGATTTTGCTGAAATCTTGGAGAATCTGAATTTGCAATGAATTTGTTTAAAGAATTTTTGTCAATGTAGTTTTAAATTTTTTTTGGCCCTTGAATAAGAACCTGGGAATAAAGAATGGACTTCAACCTCATGATGTAGTTGTAATCTACAAACCCTCATGCTACCCTACCTTCCTTTTTCCAGAAGTTCAATTACAGGGTAGGAAAAAAGAGAGCTCCCCCTGCTCCCTTTTTGTTATTAGAAATTGCTCAAAATGGTGTAATGCTGATCTTGTGCAAATCCCAACACAAAAAAACAGAGCATTCTTTGCCCAGAAATAGTGTTGTAAGTCCTGTAAACAATCTTTAGCAGTGGTCAAAATATGATGCTTCTGGGAAAAGCAAAAAAATCAGCCCCTAGTGCACTGAACTGCTTATGCACTGGTATAGGTGGGAGAGGACTGTGCCTTCCAGACCACTCCAGAGATCAGGGGACACCCAAAGCCTGAGATTTATGCTGTAGCATTTATTATTACTATGCCACCAGAATGCAAGTGATGCAAGCGTTCTTAATCACAAAATCATCCAACCACTTTTAACATCCCAGGTAGAAGCAAATTTGTGATCAACTGTTGAACTATAGGGATCAAAACTTTTGTGGAAGCAAATATGTGCAAATTACAGCAATATGGCTATTGTTTCACAATTGCAGAAGACATAACATGAATTATGCTTTACAGCACAGGACCATAATTGTTATCAACAGGAAAACAGACTTATGAAGACTATCTATCTGTGCCCCCCCACGAAATTGGCCCCGACGGTGGGATGCTGGCGGCAGAAGTGCTGCCGATGGAAGTCCCCCCCGGTTGCTGACTGGCCACTGGTGGACCCCCGTGTCCCCCCCCACCGCTGTCCCCCGGTTACCGGCTGGCCACGGGGGGACTCCCCCCCCAGTTGTGTTCTGCTGGTGCTCCCCAAGACTCAGGAGGCACCAGTCACCCATGGAAGAAATACTAGTGGAGAAGAGGATCAGAAAATGATTCCACCCGAATAAGAGGTAGCTGTTACCTTACATGAGATTCACCATCCCAGGAAGACAATAGGAAATGGCCTGGATATTATTCTTGCAAGCTCTTGTAAATGGCTGGTCCTAAGCAGATGGTCCTTCTTATCCTGCTCCTTTTTTGCTGCTTTTCCAGCTACCTATGCTGATTTCACTGAGACTCTCATTCAGTGACTGTGACATTTTTTGGTTTAAGTCTAGTGTTTACACCAACTTTGAAGAAGGTTTTCTTTCCAAGACTTCAAAAACAGGGAATTATTAACTATATTGCAGAATGTTCCTGGTTTACCATGCTTCTCTTCCAAAAATCACACATGTTCATATTAACTTTCCTTGCCTAGGATTAAATTTGAGAACTGGCAGTACAAATATCACTGTGTTGAATGTGGTATGAAATCCTGGCTATGGCAACAGGCCTGCCTGTGTTCCTGAGGTTATTATATCATGCGTAAGTGATGGATCTATTCAGCATCAGTACAGGGACACAAAATGGATACATCACAATGGATGCTATGCACATTTAGATTTACTGGTTGTAACTGTGCTGTTTCTCTCTTGAAATAGAAGCCCCCAATGTTGTCCTGCCCATAGTGGCAGCCCATACACAAATAAACATGAACATAAATTGGTATCAGTCAGCCTGCATAAAGTTCTTCCTCTGTTCTAAAGAACTCTAGAAC